TTATCAGGGCTCTCAATGTACTATTTAAGATTCCTTCAATTCTAATTTTTCATTGTATAAATTCAATGGTTTTCTTTCAATGTAATCAGAGTTTAGACGGAAGATAAACTTCTCTTTGCGTGTATAATATGTTTTAAACAGCCTCCAATGTGTATCTCTAATTTCCCTTCACTGTGTGCATGTATAATCTCTCTCAATTCAGCCATCTCTCAGCCCTTATATATTAATTCAGCCCCAGCAGCCCCAATGTATATATAATAAATCAAGTCGTCGTCAATCCGTCCCTTTTCCTGTGTGTATGTGGTATATGTATCCCCTTATTCCCAGCAACCTGTGTCTAGTCCAATTTGAGGCCCAATAAAATTTCAATACCAAATTAAATTCATTTTTCTTTCCAAGCCCCAAAACTTCTATGTAATGGAAGTTAATCCTTAAAATAAATTTATTTGTGCAGCCCACGCCAATTTAGTCCTCACACTTTGGATTTTTCCATTTTCCTTTGTTTTGCATTTTTTTTTTTTTCAATTCTTCATTAAACATAAATTTTAGATACAAAAATTACAATTTAACATAAATTAGGTAGAATTTTATTCAAAAAATAATAAAATATTATAATTTAGAGACTCGAATAAGTATAAAACTACACTTATCACACCCCAAACTTGACTTTTTGTTTATCCTCGAACAAAACTAACACCTAACAAATACACAAATATGCACTGCTAATTACCTAATTAGTGGCCAGTCAATCAAACAAAACAAAAAGATTTAGCTAGCTAAGCTGGCTTTTTATCTCAAAATTAAAATCATAATATTAAATCTAATCAAAACTTCAAAATCACAATATAGAAATTAAAATTTACTTTTCCAATGTGAAATCAACGTGTGTGTGAAAAATTAAGCACAACATTATGAATTTATAAGTTGTTTCAATTTCCAACCCTCAATGGTCAAATACATTCTTTCATCACTCGTAAAATTTACACACCCGCAAACTTATTCTTTTCGCTCTTTTTAATTGTGTGAACTAATGTTGAATTTTATACTATCATCACCTCTCTAGTTTAGGCAAATCTCACTGGTTACTTGTCAATATGTCAATAAATAAGGATTTTCCATTGTTTGATTGCTTCAATCTCTAAGATTTTTACTAGATTAATAATCCCTTATCAAAAGCCAATTTTTTCCAAATAAATGTTTGGGATTTAAGCAAGACATTTGATGCGTTTTCTGTTTCATACACCTGCTTTTTTGGATTTTCTATAAAAAAAATTCAAAATTTTTTTTTCTTTATTTGAAGTATTCTCACCTTTAAGTTTTCTAAATGACACATGTAACAAATTTTTGACCGATGACTCTCAGGTGAGATGATCATAGAGCACCAGGTTTTAAAGACTCTTGTAGGCTTAATTGTTCGAGTCATAAAAGCTACGAAAAGAAATTTTCAAATAAAATAATAATTTTTTTTACCTTAATTAGTGCATTGTCCCTCATTGAATACCAATTTAATAAAAACAACATTTAACTTGAGACTTTCATCAAATTTCATCTTATTGACCTTAAACAATTCACACAAGAGCTTTCACATTTTTTATTTTTTCACACATGGAATCCCCATTTATCTCAATATCTTCCCATAACAGTAAAAACTCCCAAACTATTCTAAATTTGGTCAACAGATGTAAAATTTTGTGGTTTTGAGTTTAGCACCTATGGTCCACTATTTCAACTCATTCAATTATGAATTCAACTCATTC